TAACTGCCTTAGCTCAATGCTGTAGAATTCTGGGAATGGTAGTTTTGTGAGATATTTCTCCTTATCTGTCAGGGAGCTCTGGTGCCACAACAAATTACAAAACCCAGGATTCCATAGAATGGAGCCATGACTGTTAAAGCAGCACCAAACTGCATTAATTTGGCAGTGTGGCAGCAGGCAGAGTGTGTAGTAGACTGTTGGATAAAATTTGTTTTTGATCTGATACAGCAGGGATTTTTCTTCTTCTTATGAATGCTTCTTGAAGGATAGTGCCTAGTGCTATAAATCCGAAGGCATTCTGCAACTGTTCTTTCATTCCTTTTTTTCCCTGATCTTTTTTTTTAAGATAGGAGAAGTTGTGGGGAAATACAAGAGGGTCAGAAATATGGATGGGGGAGGATGCTGTTTGTTTCTTGTTTATCAGAATTCACAAACAGATAAACAAATCTCTTCCATGTTGTGATAAACTGCTAGCAAAGCAGGCCTTATGGGGAAACAGCCCAGATCCCTACTCCCATCAAACAAATGACCCGGTGGGTTCCCCAGTGAAGATGCTCACACATCTCAAGCTGCGCTGGTTGTCTTTTAATTTCCCTTATGTGGATGACCCTTCCTGCACTCCTCCGCTGCTCCTCTACTTTGCTACTTTGCTAGATGAAGTTCAAAGCCCATCCTGAGAAACCACAGTGAAGTTTTAATTAGACACCTAATCAGCGGCTCCACAAACAGCTTAAAAGGTTAAAAATTGCATACCTTATGTGGCTAAAGCTGAAATACAGGCTTTTCTATGCATAAATATGGCTTGCAATTAACTGGAGATCAGTCAAACACTGCATATCTACACACATGTGAGAGCCACCATGGTGTAGTGGTTTGCGCATTGGATGATAACTCTGGAGACCCGGGTTCGATTCCCAGATCAGCCATGAAACCCCCTGGATGACCTTGAACAAGTGACACACTCTCAGCCTAAGGGGAAGGCAATGGCAAACCCCCTCTGAAGAAACTTGCCAAGAAAACCCCATGATAGGTTTGCCTTAGGGTTGCCATAAGTCGGAAACAACTTGAAGGCACACAACAACAAGAAGTTTATCAAGATAGGGAGAATGCTCTGCAGGGTTACAAAATGGAGCCAATTTCAGAATAAGAGGGGGCTGATTTTTCTCATGCCATGTCAAGGGAACCTTATGCTCAAATGCAGTTCCCTCCAAACATATGGAATCGTATTATATGAACCTTTCTTCCATGTCAGCCAGGGTTTTGTGGAAGTTAGAATATTGGTCTAGGACTTAGGAGATCCATGTTCCCATTCAGCCATGAAACTGTCTTGGACCAGTCACGCGGGTTTTCATCCTGTTGGTGAATTACACAAGTGCAAATTTTGTTCCATGTCTTGGTTGAATTTGGCAGCATTTCACAATGGCCACATTCAGTTCAAGGTTTCAAAAGCAGAGCTATGCATGTAATGCTATTGCACTTGGTCATGCAATGTGTAATGATGGGCTCCTTCTGCATTCATGTGCAGTGCACAGTATACAGTGATGTGTGTCACTGAGTTTCAAATTGCCAAGCTTTTGCTGGGATCAGGCCAGGCAGGCAGGGACATCTCTTCTCACTCCCCCCCCCCCAAGGATCCTAGACATCCAACATTCTTTTTATATATATTATTTTTTAAATTCCATCTTTAACAATATGTAGTGACATCCGGGTAAATGTTGACAAGGTTGTAACCCAAAAGGCTCTTGGAATGCATCCATTTCTTTATGACAATCAGGGATTTTGAGCAGAACCAGATAGTTCAGGACCCTTTATTGCTTGAGCCAGGAAACTAAATGGTGTTGCCTCCCTCCAACGAAGGGGACAAAGCGTATAATACCCAAATTTGGCTTGTTAGTTGGACACCTGAGGCAGACAATCTTATCAGCACTTCACCCTGGGAAGAAAAAAAATACAGTGATCATAAATAACTAGCAATTTCCTGACCTTCCACGGCATTCTGAACCGGCTGCCCAGGACAGCCATTTCTCTCCATGCCTCATCAGCGCATAGCAGGAGCTGGCAGCCACTCTGCCAGCTTGCTCAGTCAGGGGCTTTTTGCAAATGTACTCTCTAGTCCAGGGCATACGCTTATAAGCACTTATTTCAGCTGCATGAGTCTATCTTCCATAGCCTGGGGTAGCAAGGTGTTGAATCCATCCCAGTTCTTTTGGTTTAAACTTTAAAGGTTGTTGTTTGTTGTTAACTAACCTCAAGTTGGCCCCAACTCATGATGACCTTGTGGATGAGACACCTCTAAGACCCCCTGTCTTCCACTGTTCTGCTCAGGTCCTGTAGATTCAGGCTCATGGTTTCCTTGATTGAGTCTATTTATGTAGTGTGTGGTCTTTTTTCCTTTTTTCTTTCTCTACCTTTCCTAGCATTATTGTCTTTTCTAATAAGTCATGCATTCTCACCATGTGGCCAAAGTATGACAGACTCAGTTTCATCACGCAGGGAGAGTTTTTAGTGAGTCATGCCTTCTCATGATGTGAACAAAGTACAGCGGGTCCTTAGTATCCACTGGTGTTTGGTTCCAGGACCCTCCATGGATGCCAAAATCTGTGGGTGCTCAAGTCCCATTAAATACAATGGCATAGTCAAATGGTGACCCTTATATAAAATGGCCAAATCAAGGTTTGCTCATTGGAATTTTTACATTTTAAAAAATATTTTAAAGCCGTGGATGCTTGAATCTGTGGATAACAAATCTGTGGATATGAAGGGCCAACTGTATAAAGCATGACTCACTAGAAAAGATGAGAATGTAGGAAAGGTGGAGGGCAGTAGAAAGAGAGGAAGATCCCAAACCAGATGGCTAGATTCAGCTAGGGAGGTCATAGGATGAATTGACAAGACCTAAACAGAGCAATGGAAGATAGAGGGTCTTGAAGATGTCTCACCACTGGGTCACCGTGAGTCAAGGCTGACACAAGGGTAGTTAACAACAACAACAACAACAACAACAATCACAAAGATGGTGGTGGTGGGAAGGCATATTTCATCATTTAGGATCAACCATGCTACTGATCCCTATGAGACACACTTCTCATGCTCATCCAGCTTGCATGCCAGATGTTGACTGAGCTTTTCCAACTTTCTTCTCTCTCCCTGCACAAAAAGATTTGGGCTGGCATGCTATGCCAATAGATGAGGAGACAGGCTGTTCTGTTTTGTTGAAATGGATGTACAACTTTGGATAAGTCCTCTGTTTTTGTCTCCTTGTGTTGTCTCTTTCTAGGTCATGATTATTTAGAGTGCTCCTAGTGAGCAACCGCAGACCATTGATTGTTCCACATGGCGTCCTTTTGAGGTTCTTGAAACCCAATGAGAAGGATAATGGGAGCTGGACTAATCACAAGAGCGAAAAAAAGAAGCAGAAAAAAGATCCACGCTAGAATGATCAGAGGAGATATTCAACTCTAAATCTGCACAGAGCTGTGTAATTATCAGAGTGTGCTTAAATACTTCTTGAGAGTGGCATTCATTATGAGATTTGGGTTTGCAATCGATAGGTATTTCATCCGCATGCAGCTGGGCCTTTGATTTGGACCATTGCTTTAAATGGGTGGAAAACAACTTGGAAGAGAACAACAAATCTTAAACAATGGGCAAGTTGTCAGTTAATGTTTGCAGATGCTGCTGATTAAAATGGCTGCACTGACAATTACATTCTGTTCTGGCTGATTGTTTCCTCATTATTCCCTCCGACAGAATGAAAGAGGTGAAGGCTTCGTTTTCCACATCTCAGGACTGCAAAATGGCTCCAACAATACACTCTCTTTAGCTCATCTTCTCATTATTGTGGCTACAAAGCCTCATAAACAGGGGATTGGGATGCCTTTGGTGCTTTGTCTCCCAGAATCTCAAGCAACACAACATTGCCGACGGATTGACCTCTCGGCACAAAGCAACCCCGAAGATCAGAAGCAGAATGGAGCCCCAAGGTCTCATTGCATTTTGGTCAATTAATCTTTAAAAATATGGTCATGTTGCTTCAATAGAATCGCTTGAGGAGGAGTCGATTGACTCAACCACAATAGACCGCCTGAAAGGCAGACAATGCCTCACTCTTCACTCAGAGGCAGGAAACAAGAGTCTCGGATTAAAAAGAAGGCTCAGAAAAACCTTTTAAAAGGATGTTTCTTTCTTTCTTTTTAACCTTATTTTCATCTCTCAGATGAATCAAAAGCATTCTTGAAAAGGAAAGGTGTGTGTGTGTCGGGGGGGTAAAAAACCTGTAGGTGTGCTTCTTTTAAAAAAGCAAATAAATAATTTAGCGGCTTTGTCACAAAGCTGGCATCCACTTGGCTAAACTCACTCTAATGGGCAGAAAACAGAGACAACTACCCCTTGACTTGTTGACTCCTACTCTCTTGTGTTTGGCTACCCAACCAACGACTAAGGAGACCTTTGTAGTACAGAGATCAACCCATAGGGGGTGATAGTTGCCTTCAGAGAAAATAGAGATCTGGAATCCCTGATACTTAAATTTAAACTTAAATGATCTGGAAATTTTGCAGAGTTGGGTGTCTGTTTCCTCCCCCCTTCCTTTGGATAGGATAGTGGCTATTTCAGGAGTTTAAATTAGAAACTGAGCGCTGGATGGGTCTGACAATGCTGAATTCTGATTTGCAAACTGGGTTGCTTTGCTTTTTGGAATTGCATACCTGAGGTCTCCACACCAACTTGGTTTTCTCACCACAGAAATAAAACGGGTTGAGACCACTTTAACTGTCATGACTCTATCCTGTGGAATCCTGGGATTTGTAGTATGGCTAGGTACTCAGCCTGATCTGTCACAGAGCTCTGGTATGGAGATGGGCAAAGGGAAACTGATCTCTGAATAGCAATATTGGTTACATAATAAATAAGCACATACCAATTGTTAATAACTGAGTTTGTTGCATTCCCCCCCCTCACCAGATGCATTTCTATGTTCATAAATTGTCAAATCCTTTCATTTCACCTTTGCCTCTAGAGTAGGGTAGCTTATAAATAAAAATGGGGAAATGAATGATGTAGCTTTCATATCCTTTTTGTATTGTCAGCTTGGACTTCCTTTCGACTGAGTACAAAAACGCTAACAGACCATAGCAATGTGCTGCTTCATCCTAATGCATGTTTACACATAAGCAAGCTTCTCTGTATTATATGGGCTTCCTTTGGAGGAAGCGTATCCAGGATTGCACCCGCTTATCCTAAACTTCGACTGCACTTAATTCCAGATACTGTTTCCTGAACTGGAAATACAATTAATAAAAATCCTAATTGCATCCCAGCTTCCTAAAAAACAAACCAACCTTGTCCCATTAAATAATGTGTATAATATTTCTTGTGTGCCTTTTGCTAGTTCAGAAAGGGCTTTCAGGAAGAAGGTTTGCGACCATTTTAGCCAAGTGAAATAGGTGGCTTGCTGTGCGATCCTTAAGACTCCAGTTGACGGTGATGCCTGTGTATTTCCAGGAGGTCTAATGACACATGCAAATTTGTGAGAATCACGTCTAGAGAATAAATAAGCTCAGTTGATCAGAGACTGGAAACATAGCTAATGAAGCTGTCTATCATCCAGCAAGAGCTGATTAGTTTCTGCATGCATGGATGGCCACATACCTGGATAGCTGGATACCTTTTCTACGAATGACTGGAAAGCTGCTGTGGAGTGTGCAGGTGGGGCACTACTGGCCCTCTACTATGCCAAGCAGGACAACTAGTTACTTGCAACTGGAGTTCAAGCAGTTTTGTTTCCACACACCCCTCCATCACCTCCAGTTGGAACCAGAAGAAATTCAGCACTGGATTTGGTAATATAACAATTTCCTCACCACACACACACACACACACACACACACACACACACATGCACTTGCTAACACTGAACCAGTGGTATAAAAATAAGCAAGCGAGAACCTGGCTCTGTGCAAAGGTTTATAGTACAGAAGATGGTTTACAATAAATGGATAGAACTGAAATAGCTCAGTGATAATGCTCTATGGTTACAAATATATATGCACACCACACACATGCGTGCACACACACACACAGTTGTTGTGTGCCCTCAAGTTGTTTCTGACTTATGGCGACCCTAAGGCAAATCTATCATGGGGTTTTGTGGGGCTGAGAGTGTGTGACTTACCAAAGGTCAATGAATGGGTTTCCATAGCCAAGCAAGGATTTGAACCTGGTCTCCAGAGACCCAAGTCCAACACTGAAACCACTATGCCATGCTGGCTCTCACATACCACACACACATATACACACACACATGTTTCTATGTGCCTTCAAGTGGCCTGTTGACTTATGATAGCCCCATTAATTTCCTAGGGTTTTCTAAGGCAAAAAAAAAAAAAAATACTCAGGGGTGGTTTTGCCAGTTTTTTCTTCTGAAATATAGCCCACAGCACCCGGTAATCATTGACTTTCTCCCATCCATGTACTAACCAGATCTGATCCTGCTTAGCTTCACAAGATCTAATGGAATCTGGTGCCTTTTGGATATTTTGGTATTGTGCACCACGTATGGCTATTGAATTATTCCAGTGCTATCTGTGAAATATGAATACAAGCTAATTTAAAAGTAACAGAATGGTGGCACATGTCTTCTTGTTTTCCTCTTTGTTGTCTCCTCTTCTTTTCCACTCCCTTCCTGCTAGGTCTCTCAGTGGGTTTCATGGCCAAGCTGGGACTTGAACCCTGGACTCTAGAGTCGCAGTCCAACACTCAAACCACTATGCCACGCAGCATAAGCGTAACTAATTCCTTTCTCAAAGAAAGTTCCCAAGCTCTGGTCACATTATCAGCAATTCTGTATCACCCAACAAGCACTTCTGGCACTGAAGGTTATTTCTCCCCACTTCTGCAGAAATAATGAGATACATGACACATAATGTCAGGTGTCTGACTGACAAGAAAATGTATTATACTTTACATGGATTTGATGTCACATTCAGAGATAATAAGGGGGTTTGATTGATGGAGCCTTTTTAAGAGCATCTTGCAATGCAAACATTTCACCCGTCTTGCTTAATTGCCCCCCCTTCCCTTTTGCCTTCAGCAAGATGTTGATCTCAAGCACACCTGCGAGATTTGACTCGAAACCTGGTAATACATAGTTCATAGGAGGAATCTGGGATTAGAATCATTTTAGGATATTTTTCATTTTTTAAAAAAGATTTGGCTCAGAAACAATTGGGGGGGACGGACATGCAGGCCTTAATTTGTACCCAAGGACCTTGACATTTTTAGATCCAGCACCCATTTCCATTGCTCAATGTATAAAATAATAAGACAACCCCTGAGCACTGACAGAGTATTGCTGTCAGATATACTTTCAGAGCTAGGGTTGCCACAATAAAAACTGGAGGCATCTCCTGTATCTTTAATGGTTGCCAGTGTGGCGTAGTGGTTTGAACGTTGGGCTATGAGTCTGGAGATCAGGGTTCAATTCCCAGCTTGATCATGAAATCCACTGGGTGATCTTGAGCCAGTCACACTCTCTCGGCCTTGGGGGAAGACAATGGTGAGCCTCTCCTGAACAAATTTTGCTGAGAAAACCCCATGAAAGGTTTGCCTTAGGGCCGCTGTAAATTGGAAATGACTTGAAGGTACACAACAACAGCAAAGAAAAGGGAACTTCATCAGGTGTCATGCAAACAGGTAAGAAGCTGAAATTCCCTCTTCTTCAAATCCGTTAAAGGTACAGAAAATGTCTCCAGTTTTGACTTTGACAATCCAAGGACATGTACAAACCCACATATATTCTAAATATATATGTCTTTAAGGACTTTTGGACATTTATATTCCACTTTGACTCCCACAGCGACACCATGGGGTTTGTAATTTAGGGAGGCACTTGAAACTTTGCCTGACAATATTCAGTTTGTTAAAACTAAACTATGAACTCCAGGATTCTGTAGGATGTTGCCATGGGTGTTAAAGTGGAATCATAGTGCTATGAACTGTGCAGTGTGAAAAGGCCACTCGGTTAATAGAGAAACAGGTTTCATCCCTTTCTCTTGCTCCACACCTTGGGAGTCAGGCAAGTACTGGAAGAACCAAATTCACCCAACATTTTCATTCAGGTATTTATTCCTTCTGATATCCTCCATAATCCTATGGCTTTGCTCCTTTCTATTACCTTGAATTATATTCCTTCTCTTTTTTTGAGCAACTGTGCCTTTTGAGTCTTCCAAACCAAATTCCTGGATTGATCGCCCTCTCCCTACAAAAAGAATTTCATCTGATTTGGGATTTCCTCAATGTCTCTTATTGGACATGAAAAATGTCTCGAGACCACATTGTTTTCAGCCCAGCAGTTACACTGAAAAGAGGGGGAGGCAAAATCAGCTTACTTTAAAAAGACACAGATGATAGGTGCCATTTTCTAAATAGTTAACCATCCTGTTTGGATTTGACGTCCTGGTTTTTCAGGCTGTGTGACACCCATCATTTGTTTTATCTTTATTTCTGTATCATAAAATTCATAGCTTCGAGCGGGGGAAGAAAAAGAAACTCACCACTCCCATGATAACATTTATTGTAGTTCAGGACTGCAACCCTTCCAACCATTCTACTGGAGAAAGAAGCAATTTGAAGCTTATCTCCTCCTGTCCTTGTTAAATGCATTTGCAAGGAAGGTATTCTAGCACCATGAAGGAAAAATTTTCTTCATTTTTGGGTTTTTTGTTTAATCAACCAATTCATATCATTGTGTGTTTTCTTTGCATGGTACCTACTTGTATAATCACATTCATGATAGGAATGTACTGAATGTTTTATGCCAATGGGTAGCAACTGTCCAATGAGACAGAGAAACAGCTACAATAAGGCTCTGTTGAATGTGAAGAATACAATAGGGGAACCTTTGTGTAGAATGAAAACCATGCATAATCATGAACACAATTTTTCCTGTGAAGTTGAAGGCTTTCACGGCTGGCATCTATATTTTTTGTGGGGTTTTTGGGCTATGGGACCATGTTCTAGAAGGATGTTCCTGATGTTTCGCCTGCATCTGTGGCTGGCATCTTCAGAGAAGATTTCCTACCTGAAATGAATGATGACTCAGGCTTGTAGAGGGAGCATACCATAGAATCATACTGGAGGACCTAGAAATGCCTACAGAGAACACTTCTCGAGGCATTTCTAGATCCTCCAGGGCAATTCTATGGATTCTATGGGATCCACAGCTTTTCACAGATAAGGGAAACTGCAGTAAATGAATCAGTGTTAAATGGAGTCTTACTGTACAGGGAAGGCAATCCAGTCCAGATCATGCATAGCTAATCTCAGAAGATGAAGGAAGATGCAGGGGCAAGCTCTCAGAGGTTGTTACTCAAAGCCAGTAGTCTGGAGAACCAAAGCCAAAAATGAATCATGACATGCAACCAATCCAGAAATCAAGAATTCCAGGAAACACACAAACTTGGAGAGCACTGCCAGAGAGTGAATGGTTGCAAGCAACAACAAGGGCTGCATCTGCAGTGCAGAAATGATGCAGTTTGATACCATTTTAACTGCTATGGCTCAATGCTGTTGGATTCCGGGATTTTTGTGTAGTTTTACGAGACATTTAGCCTTCTCTGTCAGAGAGCTCTGGCACCACAACAAACCACACATTCCAGAATTACATAGCATTGAGCCATGGCAGCAAAAGTGGTGCCAAACTGCATTGTTTTTGCAGGGCAGATGTAGCATTGGAAGCTGCTGGGAGTTTTATAGCTGGCTGTCTCTGAAGGCCAAGTGCTTAATAAGTCAGCTTCTCTGACTTAACAGTTGCCAATTTTGCTGAAGCTTCTCCTCCAGACTTCAATGGATGGGGGTACCAGACTTCAATGCCAGACTTCAATGGATGGGGGTACCTTTGTAGCATCTAGCATATCCTGCTGAGGAGACATATTTAGGGTGGGAGCCATCATCTGGAGCCACACTCCTTGCCATCCAACTCCTCTGTGCCAGACTCCTTACCTTCCAGAGGTTGAGTTATGACACTAAGAACCTGCATCAAGGAAATGGAACTTAACTTTATACTCATGAAGACAGATGGCAATTGTGTATTAATGAACTGCAACCCTGCATAATTGAATGGCAAACAGATGTAAGATGCACAATTGCAGTGAATAATGCTCATCTGGCAGTACAATGCACAATGTGCATCTGCATCAAAAAGACACAATGGTACCACATGCTCAATGGCACCAGAAACACCATTCTGCTTCTACCACCTTCAATTGAATACAGACCTGCACACTGGACCAATATATATATATATATATATGTTCAACTGCTTGTGTGGGGGAAGTTACACATGTGTCAGTAACTAACACATGTGTAAGTCACCAGAGCCAGCATGGTGTAGTGGTTTCAGTGTTAGACTAGGACTCCAGGAGACCAGGGTTCAAAGCTCCTCTTGGCCATGGAAACCTATTAAATGACCTTGAGTAAAGTCACACTCATTCTTGGAAGAAGGCAAAAGTAAACTCTCTCTGAATGAATTCTGCTGAGAAAATCTTATGATAGGTTTGCCTTAGGGTTGCCAAAAATCAGAAATAATTTGAAGATACACAATAGCAACAACAAGAAGAAATCACTAACAGGATTCCAGACAGGGTCTTTTAACATGCCGTTCATAGGAAATGTGGGAATAACACAATGGAAAGAAGATACTGCTATGATTAGAGAAATATTCAACCAGCAAATCACCAAGGGACAAACCACATTTCATTTGTAACCGCAGTTATCAGTCAGTGACAGATAACCTCCATCAAGGTTGTGTAATGTAGTGCTTCTTCCAATGTGCCAGAGAGTAGCACTAAATTGTGCACATTAACTACAATTAATTTGTTCTTCCTTGGAAGCTGTCCATGGCTCTGGGATTGGTGGAGGTCCACAGACCACTGCTTGAAGTAGTGCTGGTGTAATGTCTGTGGATACATTATGTATATGGATGTACTAATTGTGCCAGGCATTCCTTGCGTTGAATGACAATGCTGCAGAACTTAATCCACAGCCAAATGTGTGGCTGAGTGCACAACCAAATGTACACATGCATCCCATGTATATCCCATGTTAATATGCAGTGGCACTACATCTGCAACATAGCTCCTGCAGCCTTGAACTCAATGTGGATGTCCCTTGTTGGATAAAAAATGTCCAACCACTTCTGTAGGGGAAATTAAATGTGAGACATCAATAGTATTTTGGCCAGTAGTATTTACTTATTTTTGTACAGTACAACCCTCATATTTGCAAGGGATACGTTCCCATAGATAGTGAAAATCATGGAAAATAGCAAATTCTATATTTCCAGTGGGAGTTGACCATAAAATCATGCTGGAGGACCTCCAGATGCCTAGAGAGACCATATTTTTTGAACTCAGGTAAAGGAAATTAGAGGTACCATTCCTATGAATATGGAGGTTGTACAACATGTATTTATTTGCAACAGAGGGACACCAGGGAAGGGGGCAGTCCAGTCTCATATGGGGAGCTATAGTTCTTCACAGAGCTGAGACTTAAGTCACAGGGGGCCTTAGACTCAGAAACCAGCATTTTGAATTGTGCCCAGGAACAGATGGTTAGCCAATGAAGCTGTTATAATGAGGGACTTGTGTGCTCTATACATGCTATGCTTGGCAGTGCCCTGTGGGTATAGAAAGCATTGGCTGGATGACACTCATTGACAGCTGCTAGAGGAAACTCCTGGAAAAGTGGGTGTAGAGAAAGGATTTGGGAAGACCTTTTCCCT